AAATTGTCACATCCACAAGGTTATCCTAGATTAGAATTGCCAGGGCCCCGTGTAGAACTTGTGTGGTTTTGTGTGGTTTGTACTTGTACCAGCAAACATGACTGTGTGTTTTTGCCTGCACCACGCCCTCCATTTTCAATGAGATTTAAATTCGACATTGCAGCAGAAGGTTCCACAACGTCTGCCAGTAATTTTGGTTTCCTATACTCTGGTTCTTTTTTTCCAGTTCCCTTTAGTTAGACTTGAGATCTGCTGCCCTAGGACCCAGATGTGCAGTTATAAGCATCCTCTCCCACCCTTTTCCTCAGTGATCAGGAAAAGTTAGTATCACGTGACTTCTACTCTACTCCTACTACACTGGGTTCTTGTGTTCTGGCTGTTGAGCATTGGTAAAGTTCTGGTCACAGCATCCTTGGTGAAACTGAACTCCCATTTTCAATAACAAAAGATTTAAATTGTGCCTGGTCAGCTCCCAGACACCTGTACCCTGAGACAGATTTGCAGTAGGATAGAGACAGCAAAGGTGTGCAAGGCCCTGTAAGGCCTGTACACATCATGTCTGTGAGGACACTGGCCTACTGTGTGCAAGGCCCTGTAAGGCCTATACACATCATGTCTGTGAGGACACTGGCCTACTGTGTGCAAGGCCCTGTTGATTCCCCAGAACATCAAGAGAAAGACAGACTGTGTTGAACTATCATCCTGAAGCTTTAAAAAGACATTGTAAAACTGTGGACTGGGTGTGTGTAGAAGGGAAAACTTGTCATTTTAAATACTAAAGATAAGGAAGATGTAAGTTTACCATTCCACCTGTTCAGGTGGTAAACAGCAGAATTAAACACTGTTATCTTGCTGCCAGAGTCGGCCAAAGTTCCCCCACCCAGACTCTAGACTAGAGGACATTAAGTTCTGAAAACTGAATAGCTGTTCAAATCCCCCGTCTGCTGCTATACCTTACATCGAAAGGAATTACTTGAAAGAGCACTGGGAACTTTGAGTGTTCAAGCAACTAACTTGGGTACTAATGTTTCATTACTACACCATCACATTGTCTCTATAGAACTTTCTACATCAACTTTTGTTTAAAATGTTAATCTGTTGTTTTCCCCCACCAAATCGTGATTTCACATGAATTAACTGACTGAGAAATCCTGTCAAATAGTAAGTCAGTTTGACTTGCTGACTCAGCCTTAGCTCCTGGAATGGAGACCAGCCTTTAGCAAATGTAGTCTCTGAACACAGGTGCCAGTGGCCATGAAGTATCTTAGAAGGTGTTTAAGGATGTCCAGGATAGAGACAGGACATTTGTCCAGTGTAACAGTTCACAGTAACTCCAGAGTAGCCACCTCCTGAAGAGCTTTTCCTAGAGTGTCTCGTAGGAAATGAGTGTTGACAGTACTTACACTTACCCAGTCAGAACCTCACATACCCACCCTCTGTACAGGAAAGCCTAAGTCAGAACCAGAATGCTTTTAGGGTTAGGTTTACTTTTAGAATCATTTAGATTTGGATTATATTCAGTATAGTCTAAATATATTGAATACACTCTAACTCATAATGCCTTCTTTAAATGCGTGTGTGACCAGTGCAAAAGTAAAATTATCAATGCATCCTTTCTTAAGAACCCACCATGGCCTACATTACAGGCCGCTGCGGGAGAATTTTAAAGTGCATAAAAATTTTAAGACAATAGGATTATAAACATCCTATATGGGTATAAAACACAATATTTCTTTTTGTGTATATATATTTTGAGTTTTATCAGAAGCCAGCAAAGCTATGTAATAAATATGCAGTAAGGTTATAGCGTGATTATAGGGAGAGAGTGAGATAGGACTTGGAATTTATTAAAACTGAAGTGGAATTTTAAATAACCTTTTCTAACTGAAAACATTGCCGCATTTTAAAACCGGAGACGATTCTGTACACAGCTTACACCTTAGCTACGCTCTAACTGCATTTCCTCCCAGCGCCGCTCGTGAACATTCTTTCATTCATCCTTAGCCCCATCAGTGTCCCAGTGGGCACTCACATTCCCGATGCCCAGACGACTTCTAATAACCCTCCTCGCTGCCTCTCCGCTTGGGCCACCTGCCTGATGAGTGCAGCTGGGACCCGAACCCACCACTCCTGCCGGCCCACGCACTTGCTCTCCCTCGGATGAACTCAGCACCGTCTGCTGTCTACCCTCTACTTGCCTGCTGCACAGTATTTAATGCCCCCTTGAATGTGCGAGGAAGACATGTATCTTCCTTCTCTTCCTCAAAACGATGGCTAAACTTTTACCAGCTGGCTGCAGGTGACAAACTGCTGGCCCCAAGCACATGGCCCACAGTTCCTCCTAAGAGTCATATAAACAGTTGTGAAAGGGTTTTGAACCAGCAGCTGCTGCCAGATGGGAGGAATTTACAGGCACGCGTATTTCTAACTTCACTTCTTTTACACTATTGATAGGTCTCCATCTAAATTCAGTCTGTAATGCAGTCGGTAATGATGGTCAATAGATGTAATTTAGCATTTTGCTTACATCTTTCTTGCCATCTCTTTTCCCCCAACTCCCTGTCTTTCCTCACTTAAATGTTGCCTCTGAACTATATCAGTAACGAGGCCATTGCATTTTCTATTAAAATCCATAGTTTAAACTTTGTTTGGCCTAATTTAAATGCCGACATTATGGACCCATGTGAATTAGTCTGAGTGGTCAAATCCCCTGTCGATTATGCAAATGTAGAAGTTTCAGGTTGAGTTACCTTATTATTAAGGTTAAGATGGGAAAAATTATAAATGTGACAAACCTATGATCTTACAATACAACTATTTCTTACCATTCTGTTATCATGAATTCAGTTAAGTTCCAACTTTGTTTTATTCTAAGTTTAGACAACCGGGAAGGTTTTTTGTTTTTGTTTTTTCCTGAGACAGAGTTTCTCTGAGTAACCCTATCTGTCCTGAAACTCACTCTGTAGACCAGGCTGGCCTCAGACTCACAGAGATCCACCTGTTTCTGCGTCCCAAGTGCTGGGATTAAAGGTGTGCGCCACCAACACCCAGCAACTGGCATGGATTTTAAATATCTAGTTTTAGTCTTTATTCACGTGACTTTTGTGCATGCCACATAGGTACAGGTCCCTGTGGCAGCTAGAGAAAGGTGTTGGGCCCTGTGTAGTCAGAGCTGCAGATGGCTGTAAGCAAACCAAAAATAAGGTGGGGGGGGACTGGATGGGGGGGACTGGACGGGGGGATGGAGGGGGGGAGACACTGGACTTGGCCTCTGAGAAAGCAGCATGTGCTCTTCGGCTTTGAACCACACGTCTATCCTGGCATGGGGTTGAAAACTGCTGAAAATTAATAGTAAATTGGTTCTCTATGAGGGGAACTTTTCTTTGTGTAATTGTGAACCAGTTTAATTATTTTTTAAATACTGTCTTATATGGAGTGTCTTAACTTTCTCATCTTAAACTTCCAGATGGACTCAGGACCCAAAATTCATTTTAAAATTAAGTCTTTATAATTTGAGCCCTGAGTTAGGAATGATTATTACATTCCCAAGCTATCACTAATGTGGCTTAACAATTCTACTGACAATGATTCTGATTTCTGGGTCGAGAGGGCAAAGGATGGGAGGGCAATTGGTAAGAGACGGCTCGGCGTATAGAGAGAACAAAGATGTGTGAACAAAAGTGGGGAAATGGAAAGAAAGGACCAGAAGAGCCTTGCCCAGACCGTGCTCTGTGAGAGGGAGGGGCCAGAAAAGAGCCCCTGCCCTGGCACTGGGCTTTGTGCAGAAGCTTGAGGATAGTACGTGCATGGCTGTCGGTGTATTCTCACTCACAGGCGTGCCCTGTGCGTGGCTGTCGGTGTATTCTCACTCACAGGCGTGCCCTGTGCGTGGCTGTCGGTGTATTCTCACTCACAGGCGTGCCCTGTGCGTGGCTGTCCATGTATTCTCACAGGCGTGCCCTCTCTTAGAACCCCAAGGCCTTCATTAGTGTTAAGGTTCCACCCACTCCTTCATTCCTTCCCAATCTCCATAAACACGCCTTTAAAATCCCAACCCCTCAATGCATTTGTTTTTAACAAGTATTTGGGAAGTCTGCCATTTAGAGGAACTTAGGTTCCCCACATCTCTGAATTCCAGGCTTTGTCACAAAATGAAAACTAAAACAAGGCACAGTGGTCCCTGATCTGTAGGTTGATTTATAAGCCAGAAGTTTCCATCTTTGAGTTGTTCTGAGGAGTGTGAAGAATGTAGCCCTGCCTCATTCCACCTGGGACATGAACCATCCCTCGCCTGTCATAGAAACACTCTGCATACTACCAACCATCAGGCACCTAGTGGCTTGCCTCTGTTGTCAGACTATTGTATCCAAGAAACCCATGTTTTACTCTGCAATTGCCATCACATGCAAAGCAGCGATGCTGGCAATTTGGCTATGCCAAAGAGAAAGAATGAGTACTGTGGAATAGTGTGTGAGCATGATTGCATAACTTCCTTACAGTATGTTACAATGTTAATCCCACAGTGGTCTCAGTTTATAAGTTAGATTTGTCGTAAGCTTCTGTTTAGGAAAAATACAGTATGCATAGGTTTTAGTACTGTTTGCTCAATCAGGCATCCTGGGGTCTTGGAGCGTACACACACAGCTAAGGAAGGATTACTGTATCCTGAAAGAGGATCCCTTCCTTGGGGCCATGCCTACACTGGGCTCCAATAAATAGTTCCTGGTGCGCGCTCCTCTCTCCCTTCTAAGTGGACAGTGCTCCACGGGCTGCCTGGTGCAAACACCTAGCTACTGGCTGGCCCTCAGGACATATCTCACGAATCAAATAGCCCCCAGCTTTGGGAGTGGAGCAGAGGCAACTGGCTGCTCTTGGGTGTGGCTTTGTTGTGAATGGAGGCCGAGAAGGAAAGGGGACACCTGTCTCGTGGCCTTATTCCCAGATTCCTTGTTCAGATGGTCCCATCATTTTTTTTTTTTTTCCAGGGTTCCTGCTGGATGGACACGGGAAGCTAGTAAATGATGGTGACAACATAGCTTTTGTTGTTTGGCATTGGGGAAGTTTTAAAGTAGGGAAAACCAGGGAAGTCACCGGCGAGGCTAGAAATGTTGTCAATACTGTATGACTTTAAAGACGAGTCCCTGTTGAAAAGAGCCATATCTAAGACTGAGATGAACACACATGCTTGGCAGCCTTTGTACGAGGAACTGCCTTGCCTTCTGCTGTGGATGAGCAAGCTCTGCTCCCGGGAGGGATGCTTGGCCTCAGCGTTGATGCGAAGCCTTTTCAGCCCACAGAGAGCCAGGTACTTGGTGGGGAGAGTGTTGGAACCGCACAGGGAGAGCTTCAAGTCTTGGACCAGAGTGAATTCCAGCAGCCGGCCCAGTGTGGCTGCATCTGTGAACCAGATGGTCAGGTCGTCGTGGTAGCTGGTCTGCTCCGTGGCAAAAGGCAGAACAGATTTACAGCTGCACACCAAGTTGGCCAAACTGTAGTCACAGTCCCTGATGTCTACAGGGCAGCTGCAGTTCCAAATGGCATTTCCCTTTGTGAAAATCAGGGTGCTGTTCTTCTGACCTTTCGTGAAGTGGCCCGGTGCAAAGATGCCTACGGCTCCGAGCAGAAGCAGGCAGAGGCTGGAAGGTGGTGTCATTCTTGTCCAGCATGGACTGGTGTGTTCCTTTTTCTCCTTCATGGGGCAGTCCGTTGGATGTCAGTCACCTGAAAGGAAACCCGGTGCTTTACTATCACAGCCTGCTTAGAAGTGCATACCCTGCTGGAAAACCACTCCAAACCACCAGCCGGGAACTTTGCTGCCTGCAGTTCATCCAGACAGGCAGTGCTCTTATTCCTGAGAAGCAGCAGCCAGACTTCTGAACTCTGCTCAGTCAAGGCATAAAGCTCCCAGTGTTAGGCTGACAACAAGACTCACATGCTGGGGAGCTGGGGTGATGTCAGCCAAGGGGATGGATAGCACATGCTATCCACTGCATGGATGTCAGCCAGGGGGATGGATAGCACATGCTATCCACTGCATGGATGTCAGCCAAGGGGGTAGATAGCACATGCTATCCACTGCAGGGATGTCAGCCAAGGGGTAGATAGCACATGCTATTCACTGCATGGACGTCAGCCAAGGGGTAGATAGCACATGCTATTCACTGCAGGGACTCCGGTTACTGCAGTGAGCACACCCTGCCACCGACCAGTTACTGCCTACCTGTGCCTGCATAGCCCAGAGCAAGCACATGCTCTTCTCCCACGCGGGCTGCCCACCCACGCACGCACCCTGGATAACCAGCACAATGTGAACAGCCTTTAAGCATTTAATGGTAAAATTCCTTACAAACCCCATCTCCTCCAACACAATAATGCCTTCTCAGGTCCTACAGGGCACTTGTGTACCAGAGTCAACCGTAACTATGTTAATTATGATTAAGTCTGCCATTTGTTTGTTTTGTTTTATGAGGCAGGGTTTCTCTGTGTGGCTTTGTAGACCAGGCTGGCGTCAAACTCACAGAGATCCACCTACCACTGCCTTCCGAGTGCTGGGACTAAAGGCATGCGCCACAACTGCCCAGCTTCAGTTGCCAATTTTAATCTGTTATCTGCGTCTATCCCATAACAAATCTTATGAATTTATTTTGTCAAATAATTTATTGTGGGGTCCCAAACTAAGCAATAAATAAGCACGGAAAAATAAACTGGGACACATTTGTACTTTAAAGAGTAACTGGGGGACAATGACGGACTGGCCAGGGATATAGTTGATGAGTGTCCCTTCTTGCGATGTCTCCATAGGAAAATAAGAATTGTGGCAGAAGGTGTCAGATTTCGGTTTGCAAAAACACCTGTGCTTATTGGACACCGTAGGGGCTGGGGAAGGCTTGGCATCTGTGACTGGGAAGGGCAGAGCTGTGGGCAGGACCGCCGTAAGAAGGGACAGGAGGCAGAGAAGGCCACTCTGAGGTGCTGGATCTATGTCCAAAGAGTACGGTGACAGCCCGAAGGGGACACGCTGGGGCGGCAAGCACCCAGAAACTGAAGGAGGCAAAGCTGGAGACACCAGGGCTCGGACAGACAGGCACACGTCTCAGGCAGGACAGAGATGGGCTCAGCCAAGTGGAGGCCTGAAGGACAGACGCTGGCAGCAGCCGTGACACAGCCTTCCGGCCAGTTCACGCTCACGGCCAGCCCTTCGGGGGGGTCCTGCCTGCATGGAGCTTTTGTTCCAGTGAACTTGATTCCAGACCCTTCCCTGTAACATCAGAGCCCATGGCTAAGCCAGACCCGCATGGGAGGACCCAGAGCTGCAGCGAGGAGGACCGCCAAGTCAGGAGCCAGGCAGGCGCGAGCCAGGCCAAGCGGCAGAAAACTCCACATCCACGGGAAGTGTGAGCTGTCCTCCCAGGCTATTCTCGGTGGGAGAAGATGAACAGAGGCAAACCGGGAATGTCCACAGAACAAAGATGGCTCTACAGGCACAGCAGAGGGGTGGGCTGACTTTACTGGAGGACTGGGTAAACTTTGCAGTGCCTTGAGTTAATTCTGAAGCGGGCATGGGAGATTCTTGAAGAGTTTATTAAAAGCTGTATTTGTGAGTAAAGAGCGCTGATAAACTTGGGGCCAGTGTGCTCTGTGAGCAAGAGGCGTGCCTGTTTTAAGTGTCATCAGTAGGCATAGCTGACTGACTGCCCCACTTTGCAAGGGACAGAAGGGATTTTACCAGCTACAAGATTACTTTTAGACGAGCAGTTGTCCCAGATTCTACCAGGTTTCTGGGACTGCACACCCCAGTAACCTTGCCTTCACAACACTGGGAATACTGTGACTGTCACTGGCTCTCTCTGATCTCTGCCTAAAATAGACCGTGACAGGGACATGGGTAGTGAGAGGGCATCTGCGCATCAGCCACAACCTGGCTGTCATTTGCTGGCTGCTGGCCCTGTACAGGGCATGTCGGGAAGAGAAGGGACAGTTAGGGAAAAGCATGGTGGTTTGCTGGGAAATGGACAACACAAGTTTCCAAGGAGATTTGGGACTCTGTTTGCAATGGTGAGGGCCTGACTGGGCACCCAGATAATCCCTGCCCACTGGACACCAGGGAGCCCAGAGGCCAGGATGAGGAGGCCAGTTGCTAGAAGCTTCCATAATGGCATACAGGTTGGGGCAAATGTACTGCTAGCCGATTCATCCCATTCCGACATTTTTCTCCTTCAGTTTGCCATGAACTTCTCTCTGCATGCTTGCTATGCAGACTGTGAGTACCTCAGTTTCACTGCGTGGTCACTAACTTGTACCCATGCTACGCTAAACCACATCACCTGTGCTTTATGGTAGCACGAGGAGTCCGTCCATCTGTGGCGGAGCGGAGGAGGGGTGGACAGATGCTCCACAGTGGAGCCAGCAGGACATGGGACACTGGAAAAGAGGTGTCTTGTCACAAGAGGTTTCCAGCCCAACGGGACCCCTGGCTCTCCCTCCCCAATGCCACACTCCTACTGCGGTCTCCGTCTCTGTCCCCTGAGATTTTCCAAATTCTCGTCACTCTATGCTAATATTATGGGTATTTTTCCTTTTCCCCCACTTTAGAAATATTCCCCTCCTCAGAATCAGAGGGAGTAGGAAGAGACAGAGGAAGTGTGTAAAAACGTGTGGTGTGTGTGTGTGTGCGTGCACGCACACGCATGTGCCATTGTGTATAATTATCAAAGCAACGTAATTCGATTAGGAGAACACTACCATTTAAAATGACTTCTCTTAGATTTATGGGGGTTACACATATGCAATATTAAACATAGTATGCTTCATTTTAGAAAGAAGAGAAGAAATAGTCCCTTCCTCAACTGTCACCTCCTCGGCGAAGCTCACCTGACATCTTCACACCTGTGGTGTACTTACTCACGGACTTAAAATGCTGTACAGACAGTCACTTGGGGATGGCGGCAGCCCACTGATGGCTGACCCAAAGGTGTTTTCTAGCAGAGAAGCCCCCGCTGCCCGATGAAGGCGCTCTTGTTTGGCTTTGTGTTTGTTTTAGGATGGTGCTTAGCCTCTAGCAAGGACTCAACCAGTTCTGTTGATGGAGTGGGAAAGCATAGCTCAGCAGATGCCAGCTACAGGGAGCCAGTTCAGACTACTGGAGCAAAAATAATGGGTTTACTTGTCTGAAGAATCATGGAAGCACTTTAAGCATGCCTTGGTCTTGCTGCTCAGAACGGTAGGTTACCAAGCTTAAGTCTTCCTCCTCCATGGGCTGGATTCTCCGACAAGCTCATACCTTCTAGAGAAAAGAGAGTCTTGCTAGAGACAGATTCCCACCCCACCCCCCAGCTGAGCAACCTCCAGAGGAATTTGTACTTTAGCCTTGAAAACTGTACGTTGAAGAAACGCCACCCCCCCCCCACTATCTTTCCAGTTTCCCGATAGATAGAGACAAAAATGTGTTGTCTCCCTGAGTCAGACACTCTACCCTGGAACTGAGGAGCAGGGTAAGGGACTGGAGAAGCAGTAGACTGGGGGGAGGGGGAGGAAGACAAGGTAACAGACCCTCTATGCCCTCAAACTCATGTGTAACTCAAGCTCTCAGCAAGCACTGATAAATGTGTGTCACGATGCAGGAATATGTTCCGTTCTGTGATTCGCCACTAAGAGTTCGTGTCTCAGTGCGTCCCAGTGTGGTGGGGACAGGGGTAAGGGCCTTTCAGAGGCAGACCTGACTGGATGGTCATTAGACCACTGAGGGAATTGCTCTCGGACAGCAATGCAGTTCTTGTTGGATTCTGATTGGTTCTGGTGAGAAGCCTGTTTAAAAAAGAACGAGCCTGGCTTCCTTTCTCACCACAACTTCCGCCGTGTCGCCAGCAGCCATGGGGCCTTAGAAGAGCTGGTGCAGTACTGTTTGTGAGTAAGGTAAAGAAACCTTTGTTCTTCATAAGCCTCTCAGCCTCAGGTATTTCCTTACAGGAACAGAAAACAAACTGATATACACTGTGGGATTCATTTAGTGTCCTCTCTATTGAGTGACCCTTCGTTCCCACCTCCTCAGAATCCAAATACTTTTGCATTAACACTCTGGGGGACTGCGTTTGTGGCAGGCTTCTTTGCTAGCTCCCCAAGTACTAGCTTTAAAATGTGTTTCTTAGGGTGCCGGGCCCCGCCTGTTTCCTGCCCTTACCTCCCCTCAGTACCACAGCTCAGGCTGAAATCATTTACTTCTTACTGGGGCCCTCACCAGCCTCCACCTCTTCATTTTCTCTGTTTTTCTTTCCTGCAGCCATTTCCTTAGTTGCTTTTCCATTTTAGAATCAAAACCCTTTCTGACTTCAATTTAAATATACCTATGAATTAAACTTTTAAATCACATTTGATTTTTTTTAATTGTTGCAATGATTTGAAGAATAGTACTGCATTTCTCCAGTCATTCTTTGGTCCCCTGTAGTCATTGAGTTTACAGAATTCAAAACATCATTATTTACGGCATCCCAGTTGTGTTTGGGATGCAAAGCCCAGAAGCTCTCCTCCCTTGGACAGGATTTCTTCTTACAAGTGTAATTCATCCAGTTTAAGACAGTCCTTTTGGAGCTAAGTATAAACACGCTCTAAATGCTGGGTGTAACCCCAGATTGAGAAGGAATCTTTGTGGAATTTGTTCTGAAGCAACTGGTGTCC